AGATCTACTGAGGAGTTTAAGCAGAGGGTGAAAGAAAATGACCGGCTAAAGGCTGAGGCAAAGACCAAAATGTGATCAATACTAAAAGGCAGCCCAAAGGTCCCAACCCGGATTTATGGTAGAAGGTGCTACCTTGGAGACTCTGACACCCATTCCTTATGATGTTGTTAATGATCTCAAGGGCGGTTACTAAGTTTTTTGTATTATATCTTGGCAATGTGTTGTTTTTATTTCACTTCCTAAATAGCTTTACTCATCAGAGATTTTCTCATTTTCTTCGATCTTGTCGCTTGCTTCTCATTTTGAAATTTCAAGACCGCAATGTAATATGTGGTAGAATTGTTTTGTTAAGATTTTTCTTCTATGGTTTATTCATGGAACTTGACAATATCTTTTATTATAAAAAAGCAGGAGGAAAACTCTGTACAACGTTCCCACCCAAACACTGTACAGTAGCGGTTCGGGTAGTGTAGCAATGGGTGCAGTGACGGGTGGGGTAGCAGGGATGTGGCTTGCAGGTCTGATTTAATGGAGGCCCAATTATCAATGCTTCATTTTGTGGGGCTTAAGAAACAAATTCAATGTTCAATAAAAATATGTTTGCTCTTTAAATCATTATTCAAATTTCGAATAGTGAGCTATATATAATCAATAAATTGGGCCTTGAGCCACACAAACATTTAATGCAATCCTTGAGCCACACAAATATTAAATGTTTGTACTACCAAATCTCAAAGTAAAGATTGAGTAATACGTAGTATAATTTAACCATTGGTTAATGCGCAATTGCTTTATATGAGACTCTCATCCACCCTTATAAATACCCAAGTGGTGGGTTGTCTACGCACACCACAAACAAGCAATTCCAAGTTTTAATAGTAAGTAATCGCAGGTTCATCATCAACAAGGATGTGGTCTTTGATCATGGACATTGATCACACTAAGTCAAGTTGGGCGCCGAAGGTTAAGGTAGTAAGGGTTTGTGAGGTGCCTCCTCACTCAAAGGGAGGGGAGACTTTGGAGATGGTTTTGCATGACGTCGAGGTACGATTTGTGTAAATATTTTGTCTAACGAGGTCCCATTTAACAAAGAGTTTGTTTAAGGATAAAAAATTTGGTCTAACATTTGAATTTTATGTGTGTCATATGGAGATCGGATTCACGCAATAATCAAGAGGCCACAAATTACAATGTATAAGTCTGTAATAAAAGAGCACGAAATCTATGCTCTGAGAAACTTTTTGGTTCTGGACAATTACCAAACGGTGAAGACCACAACTCATCCCTACCTACTTCATTTCATCACTAAAATGCAATTCAGGGAAGGTACTAAGACAGAACTACCAATGTTGGTCTATGATTTTCAATCATTTGATATGCTTCATGCCCAACGGGTTATTAATGACAAAACTCTCATTGGTGAGTAAATTCAACTTATATACCTAAATAAATAACTAAAGTAACCCTGCTAAAATTAGCTTCGGTCTACTGTTTCAGATAACATTGGGAAGGTTATTAGTAAAAACATTGTTCAAACCCATATCATCAATGGGAAAACCGGAAGGCCGATGGAACTAACTTTGGCAGACGCGGAGTGAGTTTTTATTTATTTAAAATCGTTTTGGAATAAGACTAATATTAATATTCTAATTCTGATAGCTAAAAAACTATCTGGCTTCAATAAAATTGATACTTGGTGCCAAAATCGCAATCTTTCGATTTTAATATTAATATTAGTCTTATTCCAAAACGATTTTGAATAAATAAAAACTCATTCCTGGTCCGTCAAAGTTAGTTCCATTAGTCTTTCAGTTTTCCCATTGATGATATGGGTTTGAACAATGCTCTTACTAATAACCTTCCCAATGATATCTGAAATAGTAGACCGAAACTATTGTTAGCAGGGGTACTTTAGTTATTTATTTAGCTATATAATTTGAATTTACTCACCAATGAGAGTTTTGTCATTGATAACTCGCTGGCAATGTTCTAAAAGATGCTAAGCGCTAGTCGGGCGCTAGCCTAGCGGCTAGGTGGGTGCCTAGTCGGGGACTAGTCGGAGACATAGAAATTACCTTTTTATCTAAAATTTTGCATAAATATGATAAGTAATATTGTATTTTTGTGTGTATAAAATACATATACACACATACATGAATGATAATAACTAATCACTTTTCATTATGTTATAAATATAAATAATAATATAATTTAGGTATATATAAACATATATAGTTTTTATCTTAATTGACAACTTCATTTCTTTATATTCGTGGTGATGGAGTATATGGGTCTGAGCCCCAGGGCCCACATACTCAGAAGAACAGAAAGCACGAGACACTGAGTGGTGCCCTCGTCGGCCATGGGACCCCCGTCGGCCGAAAGAGTGCCAACTCAGAATATGGTCCTGAGTCCAAGGGACCCGGGTGCCCTCGTCGGCCGTGCCCTCGTCGGCCACGCCCTCGTCGGCCACGAAGACCTCACAGAACCGGATTTTACACTTGCTCATTTGTGCAGCCCATTAGTGGCTTTGTATTCGGCCCAGTAGCGGTCCAGTTGTAAATGGGCCTCCCAAGCCCAAGGCTTGGGAGCCCATACCGTATTTTCTCTATAAATACTCCCCTTGGGAGTAGTTACAGGGGTGACAAATTCATTCTATTGAAGCATATTATTGCACTTCTCTCTCTAGCTCTCACTTCTCTCTAGATATACTCTATCACGTGGCTAAAGTTAACTATGTGTATCGCTTAGAAAATTAAAATTAAAAAGTAAAGTAATGTTCGACAAATCTAGACGGTCTAGGTGGCTGATTAGGCGTTTGGGCAGACAACTAAGCGCCATAGGCGGCCGACTAATTCACCTATAGGGTAAACCAATTAGTCGGAGCGCCTAAACGAAAATCGGAGTGCCTGGCCACCGCCTAGCGCCTAGGCAGGGACTAGTCGGACGCCTAGAACGATTTTTAGAACAGAGCCCGCTGGGCATGAAGCATATCAAGTGGCTGAAAATCATAGATCAACATTGGTAGTTCTGTCTTAGTATCATCCCTGAATTGTGTTTTATTGATGAACTGAAGTAGGTAGGGATGAGTTGTCATCTTCACCGTTTAGTAATTGTCCAGAACCAAAAAGTTTTCCAGAGCATAGATTTCGTGCTCTTTTATTATAGACCTATACATTGTAATTTGTGGCCTCTTGATTATTGCGTGAATCCGATCTCCATATGACACACATAAAATTCAAATGTTAGACCAAATTTTTTGTCCTTAAACAAACTGTTTGTTAAATGGTACCTCATTAAACAAAATATTTACACAAATCGTACCTCGGCATCATGCAAAACCATCTCCAAAGTCTCCCCTCCCTTTGAGTGAGGGAGGCACCTCGTAAACCCTTACTACCCTAACCTTCAACGCCCAACTTGACTTAGTGTGATCAATGTCCATGATCAAAGACCACATCCCTGTTGAGCGTTGATGATGAACCTGCCATTACTTTGTATTAAAACTTGGAATTCCTTGTTTGTGGTGTGCTTAGACAACCCACCACTTGGGTATTTATAAAGGTGGATGAGAGTCTCATATAAAGTAATTGGGCATTAACCAATGGTTAAATTATACTACGTATTACTCAATCTTTACTTTGAAATTTGGTAGTACAAACATTAAATGTTTGTGTGGCTCAAGGATTGCATTAAATGTTTGTGTGGCTCAAGGCCCAATTTATTGATTATATATAGCTCACTATTCAAAATTTGAATAATAATGATTTAAAGATCAAACATATTTTTATTGAGCATGGAATTTGTTTCTTGAGCCACACAAAATGAAGCATTGATAATTGGGCCTCCATTAAATCAGACCTGCAAGCCACAAACCTACTACCCCACTCGTCACTGTACCCATTGCTACTCGACCCGCTACTATACAGTGTTTGGGCGGGAACACTGTACAATTTCCCTCCTGCTTTTGTATAATAAAAGATTATAAGTTTTCAATCAACAAAAATTAAAATTCAAAATATGAGGAAAAAATTAAATTCTATTTTCTGATGATAATTACTAAAATAACATGATCGGAGTACTTATAGATAAATGTCCCTTGTCCCTGTATGTAATAGGCAATTCTCAAAAGGGAAATTAACTCTAAAAGAAATTGCTTCAAATAAAACTAAAAAATAGATAAATGCACAAATATGGCTAACATTGTTATATTACCAAAGTATGGCTAACTTTCCTATTAAAAGTATAAAACTTCATTATTTAAGAGTAAATGAGTAATGATACTGATATCTGTACACTTTGTCTATGATTTAGTTTTATTTAAAGAATTTTCTCTAACTTCAATTTTCTCTATTTAAAGAATAATTTGTACTTTAGAAATAATATCTAATAGTACCAACTATTTAAGTTCAACAAAAAGAGTGATACATATCTACTTATCAATAGAAATTTAGTCATACTTTAAAAAAAATAGAATTTGTATCACTTAATTCATTGAGAACTAATATCAAAATATCAATGACATCATTTCAGAATGACTTTTATTTGACGGTTTGATATAAATTTTTGATATTTTAGATGGCTAGACTTCTAGACTAAAAGCGGCTATATATTATTTTTGTTATATATTCAAGTAATTGATAGTATTAAAAATTATTTTCAAAATATGCATCATTATTGATGTATGAATTGTACTCCACGGTAGTTGGATGCTACATGCTCCTTCCGACTCGAAATTAACTTCCACATTTACTTTTTGAGATGTCCCCAAATTAAGTTTCTACTTCACTTTATTTCTATTTATGGTAAGTGTTTAGTTTCAAAGTACTCGTTTACCGTTTAATTTTACTATTCACTTACCCCTTTAATTAATTTGGACCACTATGCAAGGTTATTCTTCGAAAGTCAACTTTTTTTTCTACCTAAAAACCTGTGAGTCAAACCCGTGAAGTCGAACCCGATAATTTGGGAACGGAGGGAGTATTATTTAGAGTTAAATCCCTTGGCAAATTCGTAAGAATAAAACTCCTCTAAATAGGACTTTAGTAGTACGCAATTGACAATGTAAATGCCACCAAACAACAAATTGATACTACTACAACGGAAGTCTCTCCACCTATTTGTAATGCTAAAGGGAACAAAAGTTGTGCTCTTTTCTATTCAATAAAATCATGTACAACAAGATATTGTGTATGTTTCTTTTCACTTCCCACTCCATCAAGATTCCAAGAACAACATTGAGTCGCTTGATATCTTTCTTCCAGATCTTTTTCATTTCATTCCTCTGTATCGAGATCTGAACTTGGGCTTGATGGTGCAATTCTACACTGTAATCCTTCCTCATTTTCAATTTCTTCCATGTCCTGTCAATAATAATTCTATATAAATCAACTTTTGTCTAAATGTGTTAAAGAGTAATTGTGCACCTCTTAATTTGACCAAATGATCGTTCAAAGTTATTATGATGATCTAGTGATGTATATTTATTTAAGAAATTGCTTAAATTAAGAATAAAATATGGATAAAATTAAAAAATGTGATTAAATATATGTTCATTCACAAAATAGAACTTATATAGTTATATTAAAAATATAAATATTAAGAACTTCCCAAACTACGAGAGAATATGTCATGTTTTGGGATCTTTAAAAAAAGTCATGTTTTGTTTAGGAAGAAAGACGCTTAAGCCCCAAACTACTATGTGCTTATAATGACTAATTTTGTCTCTATTTCAAGTTGATGCACTCCTTTTAAGGAAATTCATCCTAAGTAATACTGTAATAATCAGGTGCCACAACTCTATCCTCTATTGATACTTGGCTTCAATAAAAAGAGAATTTCAAAAAGAAAAAAATCTGATTTCAAAAATCAACAAAACTAAAACTAGGAAGCTAAAGAGGTAGTATTTGACTTGATCCAACCCAAAATTGCTCACAAAGATTTAAGAACTTTCCAATTATCCAAACAGCTAATCCATTATGGTAACTCTAAAAAATAGAAAATCAAAGCCAGTCAAAGAATTTTCAGGCAGTATTAATATTAAGATCAGGGATATGATAGGATAAACACGAATAATGATATGAATGAATTCAACACCCATAATTATATGTTTACCTTGAATTGATCTTCCTTCCCCTTCTTTTCTTTCTCCTTATCTCTAAGCGATCGAATAGGAGATATTCTCTGTCAAATAAAGTAATCCTTCATGAGTTTGAAGAGTGAAGAAAAATCGCAATCTATAACTGATAATTGAGTGAAGAAACAATCGGCCGATTCCTACCATACAAGATAGCCGGAGCTCTTTCAATCGGAAAAGGCGATCGACCTCGAGCTCGAGCTGCTTCTGAATCTCTCCTCTGTTTATCAGCTCCTGCATCTGCAAATCCATCACCGCGACCCGCTCACGGAGCATCTTCTCCGTTCTCTGTTTGTCGATCCTCATCCTCTCCAGCTTCTCCCGTATGGAGCTGAGCTCATCGGCTAGCGAGGAGTCTCGCAGACCGATTTCACAGTGCGGCTTCCCCTTTCCCGCCGCCGCCTGAAGCGGATGGACATTTTCTTTGTTTGAGATGTGGTATAGTGAAATCTCGAGCAGGTCCTGTTTTGGCTTGGGTTTGATAGCTTCATCGGGGATTTGATTCGCCGGAGTGTTCCTTGTCTGGAGATGCTTCCGGCCGGTTTTCTGGCGTTGGATCTGGTCTCCGACCACCGGAGATTGTGCTAACATTGTTGAGACTACTCAATTTTGAAATCTTCTAAGTCTTTTGTAGAGAAGAGGATGGCACTATTTCAATTTTGAAAAAAGAAGGAGCCGACTAACGGCTAGCCGAGCGCAAAGCATCTTATGTTGTAGATTTTTTTGAAGAGGGGAACTGAAAAGGGGCAATGTCCCCATTTTCTTTGACTCATTAGTTGGAGTGATACTTTTTTTTAATACAAAATTTTCCTTACCCTATTTGATCTACTGTTTTTTTGCATTTGTTTTGTTACTGTGCTAAAAGGTCAAATAAGCTCTTGTACCGTAAACTCAATTCAGTCCCCGAACTAAAAAAAATTCAAATTTCATTTTTAAGGTTAAACACCGGTAAAAACCGGTAAAATTTCATGTTCGGGATGTGAATTGAACCTTTTTTTAGTTCAGGGACTGAATTGAGCTTAGACGACCGGTACATGGTCTATTTGGCCCTGTAGCCCTATATTCTATTTGTGGTTGGGTAATATTTTATTTAAATTTATCTTTGTCTTTCTTAATTCTTTGCTTTTCTTTGAAGCTTATTTTCAGTTTACAAAGATGAAGTTATTTGCCAAAGGGAATAGGCACTATATGAAATTCAATAACCTTTTATGGAAGAAAATTCAATAACCTTAAAATACACAGAATGTAGAAAAGGCTACAAACACATAAATTATACTCCTTCTGTCCCATTTAAAGGTTCCCGTTCATTATTCCCTGGTCAACGTACATTGTTCTTAATCTTTTACTTTATATATCCAACTTTTATCAAATTTAAATTTTCTTGATCAGATTTTGTAGTTGTTTTAATGTAGTTTCTGAATAGATTTAATTTCACTTTTGGTCCTACAAGTTTTGTGCCAATTCCACATTTAGTCAACGTCTTTCACTTTGTCCATTTTTGTACTTGACTAATGTCTTTTAACCATTTGTGGTCCTTTTCTGACGATTTTAACCATCAGAAACAATGTCGGAATGACCATATATGGACGAGAACACAATAGTCATGTATCAAAAGTGGACAAAGTGAAAGATGTTGACTAAATGTGGAATTGACCTAAAACTCGTAGGACCAAAAATGGAATTTATTCTTTTTGAATATGTAAATTTTATTTACTAAAACTAATTCTACCAATGACATGGATCAGTTAACTTTATGGTCAGTCAAACGTCGTAAACTATGTGGGAACGTTTGAATGGGATTGAGGGAGTATATTCTAAACTTAACTTGTTAAGTCTAGTCTTAACGCGTTTTCTCGTCACATAGATGTATTAATACTTTAATTGATTTGGTATACCTTCGTTAAGTTATGTCTTAATGCTCCTAAATTGATATACAGCTTGATTGGGGAGATATTTGTTAAAAATTGAGAGAAATAAGAAAAAGGTTATGAACATAGAATCTCCCTTCTTAAGTAGGATTAGGCATATTGATAACCTAACAATTAGCAAAAAACTACATTGATGACGCTGGTTCACATGTTTCTGAAACGTAAAACATAGGGAAAATTTCAAGGTGAGCAAATCATTCTCTGGTTGATTTTTTATTAGAGTTCAATTTATATACAACAATACGTAGAAAAAACTCATCAAACATTTGGGAAGGTGAACAATGACCACTACCACATAAGAGAGAGCTGTTATTGGTTGTTAGACTGTTTGGTAACGCTGTTTTTCGACTTATCAGATTTATCAGCCAACTTTTTCACCAAACACGTAACTTTTGTTTGCGTGCATTGAATTGTGTAATAATAAGAAAAAATAAGATTGTAGTTAATTTTCTGGCTGTATTAACTGAAGTTATTGTAAATAACCATTTTAACTATTTTTACATATAATTTTTTCTAATTAGGCATATACGGAGTAGTTTTTTGTGTTTTTTAGTTCAATCGGGGAGCAAGACCGAGAGGTTATTTGGTTAATTGGTTTAGTTAAATCGCAGAGAACCCCTTCCATGTCCATGTCATAGTTGTCTATACAGTTAGATTCAAAATATCAAATACTCTCAAAAACATTGTTGGACTTTAAAATATTAACTGGTTTTATCCAAGCATAAAATTTTATTGTTTTTTTCAAAAGGGATGTCACACTTGTGTTTAAAGATGTTTTTATTTGAACCGTAATTTGTTGGTCTGGTATGTTTAAGTTTGATCCGATGTGATTTGAACCGGTATGGTCTGGTTTGGTAAATGTTTACTCTCTGTGTATTTTATAACTATGGAAGTCTGGTCTAGTCTGGTTTGGTCTGATCTGAATAAGTCTGATTTAATCTGTATAAGTCTGATTTAATCTGTATAAGTCTGATTTGGTCTGATATGATATGTGATTGAAAACAGTCCAAATAAAAACATCTAAGCATCGTCTCAATCAAAATTAACACTCCACATTATGATTGAGTAAATACTTTAAATAGACTTAAGTATGTTATTATAAAAAGATTGATTGAATAATAAGAAAAATGTGTACACATTTTATTACTCCCTCCGTCCCGAAATAATTGTTCTTCTTTCCTTTTCGATCCGTCCCAAAATAATTGTCTCCTTTCCTTATTTGGTAAACAAATTTATACAAAACAATGTCAAACAGTGCCAAACAGTGTTAAACAGTGTCGCTACAGTGCTAAACAGTGTCATTCCAGTGTCAAACAGTGTCGCTACAGTGTGAAGTAAACTTCACTTTCTTAATCTGTGTGAAGGTCAAACCAGGACGATTATTTCGGGACGAAACTAGTATTACATTTATTAAAGAATGTTTTTTCCAAAAAATAGTGGATAATAAACCCAGGGATACCACGTGGAAGAAATATGGCCTACAATTTTGTAAGTGAAAGACGGATTCTTGCCCAGAAAGACGAGTTGCTAGTTACACTGAAAAGATCAAGAAGGTTCTTTCATGGCTTCCTTGCTCTCCCCAGGTACCACAACTATCTTCAACCAAAATTACCCAAAACCCATTTCTTTCTCCCCATTAAAACCCACCTCATCTTCCCTTTTCCTCCTCCCACTCTCCAAGAGAAAACCCCTCTCTTTCAATGCATTCTTTGACGACATTTCAGATCGTCTCTCAGTCATCTCTTCAGATTTACCCACTTCTCTGTCTCAACTACCCGGGTACACCCAATTCCTTAGGGTGAACGAGGAACTGCCCGAAGGGCAGAAATGGGGTTTACTATTTTTTTCTGGATTGACCTGGATATACTTGACAGCGAGGCCAGGTGTGCTCATCGGCGCCATTGATGCGTACATTCTTGCCCCTCTGCAAGCTGGGCTTGACAGTTTGAGCGGAGCGAGAAGACTGAAGATGAGTGATTTCGTGGTTGGGGACAGAATAGGGGAGGGTTCATTTGGTGTTGTGTATTCTGGTCTGGTTGCTCCAAAGAATGTAACCATTGATGAAAGAGTCAGGAAAAGAGGAGGTCAAAGAGCTTTGACCATTGATCCAAGTTTCAAACAAAAGGTTATCCTTAAGAAGGTAGGTATGTAAGTTATAAAAACTTAAATAGCTGGGATTATATTATTTTTAAAGTCCGTTTGCTAATCGAAAGTTGACTACTATACTATTTCTAAGCATTCTAACCGAATAGGTAGTTGATTATTGAAATTTTCCTCTATTAAGTCATTTGGCTAATGATTTGCTTGATTAATGGATTTTCCTGTGTTTCAAAAACAGGATAAGTAGCCTCTAAGGGTGTTAGCCTGTTAGGGTAGCTGGAAAATCAGATTTAATAGTCAGTTAAATTAGCTTAATGTCTGTAATCAGAATCAATTTATGTTTGAATAAATTTGCTGAAAGTGGGTGTGGAAATGAGTAATTTCCTTTAAATGTGAAGCTGATATACAAAAACATAATGCTGAAATTAATATTAAGCCAAACATTTCTAACTTCTCAATACCAGTTTAAACTTACTCCATATGATAGAAAGCTGTTATAAGAATGGCAGAATATATGTAAGTACGATTAAAGGAAAATTGGAGTTTGCACCCTAATATTTCATCGAAATTTAACTTTTCATCATGTCCTCAATATCATTAATATTTACACACTAAAATGTAAAGCTTGCACCCAACATCTCATAGTTTTTTTGAACTTCGGGTGCAAATATTAATGATTTTGGAAATTGGGTAAAAACTCAAATTTGGAGGAAAAAGTGGGGTGCCTAGTTCTATTCACTCCCGTGATTTAAATTTTCAGAACAAGTTGAAATGTAAAAATAATAAAACATTGGTTTCACATACAATTCCATCATTTCCGATGGAGCCAAAGACTCAATATTTTTTGGTCCGGAGATATTACAGAATAAAGCAAAATGGCTCACTAAACTTTATGCGCTTCTTTGCTATGAAGTAGCGGTCAGTCCATGAAATTTGTCAACGCGATTTTCATCACGAGTCATTCGAAAACAGCCTATATGTGCTTCAATACAATGGTAAAGCTGCGTACATCAGTACATCTGACCTCCCCTTACCCCCCACCATAGGTGGGAGCCTTTGTGACATTGGGGTAATGTTGCTGTTGTTGTATTGGTTTCACATACAAGTTCTGAGTTGCTCATTTGATTGAAATGGATTTTATCAACCACTTTTAATATTAAAAAAAGTTTACAATATTCAGCTATATAACTTGAGTCAAATTACCCTTACTAAATGAACAGTTAGAGTACATATTAAGGTATATAAATGACTACATGTGTATAAAGTTAAAGAAGATAAGCCGGCATCCCCACTTTTCCCTATATTATGGTGCACTTTGATTTATTGTAGTCTTAAATAAATAGGTAAAACTTGGGGTTCAAGGTGCGGTTGAATGTGGTGAGTTTGAAGAATGGTTCAATTACAGGTTGTCAAGAGCTGCACCAGAGACATGTGCCAAGTTTCTTGGAAGCTTTATTGCTGAGAAAACCAATTCAAAGTTTACTAAGGGTGAGAAATGGCTTGTCTGGAGATTTGAGGTACTTCAAAGACAATTTTCAGAGGAAAAAACACACTTCAACACACACTAGGAAAATAAAATTGAGAGAAAACATATTATTGGAATTTGGAAGGAAAGAAAATATGAAAAACAAAGCAAATTTTCAAACTAATAAATTTATTTTGCTAATTATTTATATTAAGACCTGAGTCTCTATTCTAATAAGCTCTTCGCATGAGTAGATGATTCGTTTGGATTGTGAAACTTTAATTATTTTTTTCATCGGAGCACACACCCTTACGGTCTTGACATTGTCTTTGAACCGTGCAATATTTTATAAGCGCACATAACCCCTCACGGCCAAATACCTTGGCTGGACCGCAAGACTAACTCCTCAATAAGGATGTTTTTACTTGGACTGTAATTTGCTGGTCTGGTCTGGTCTGGTTTCTTTGTATTTTTATAACTATTCAAGTCTGGTCTGATCTGGTCTGGTCTAGGAGGAATTACAGTCCAAGTAAAAACATCCTAATTAAGCCCATGTCATTAGTTTATTTTGCTTTATAGATACTAAGAAATCTAAATATATATTACACATTTTAAAAATACCAAAGCAGTTTTTGAATTAAACCAAAGTTTCTCTTTCTTTCCCCAGCATTTTCTTGGATCTAGGCATATCCTAAAAGTGTATTGAAATTGTTGTTGCAGGGAGATGAGGACCTGGCTGATTACATGAAGGACCGCACCTTCCCTTTGAACTTAGAATATGCAATGTTTGGCCATGTGTTACAAGGGATGGAATCCATCAAGCGCAATGCACTAATAATCAAGCAGATTATGAGACAAATTATTACTTGTCTGAAAAAGATCCATGACACGGGGATAGTCCATCGGGATGTGAAACCATCCAACTTGGTAGTAACGAAAAGGGGACAAATCAAGCTCATAGATTTTGGAGCAGCCACAGATCTCCGGATTGGGAAAAACTATGTTCCCAACCGAGGCCTTCTCGATCCTGATTATTGCCCTCCTGAACTCTATGTAATGCCTGAAGAAACCCCCAAACCTCCACCAGAGCCCATTGCTGCTCTTCTCTCCCCATTTTTATGGCAGGTACGGTTAAATGTCATCTCACACCACAAAATTATCTATAACCCCAGAGGAGGCTTGGTTTTATGGGTCAGACACACAATATTGCTCTTATTTTTTGTTCAGGAAAAATGGTATCATAGTCTTATTATTGCCCATGCTATGTGCTTGTTAATCTCATCCAATATCTGGAAATTAGCTATATTAACACGCCGTATAACAGTTGGACTTTCTAACCTTTACCCAGGATAATTAAAAATAAAACGGTACACCTTCTAGATAAGGTATCTGTGTTGTCCTTTTTTGAATGAGACAAAAAGTATCATACATATCTAGATGAGATGTCTTGTTTTCTGGTTGTGAGATGGTGGATGATGCAAAAGAACGTGGGGTAATAGAATTTCTTTGCTACATATGAAATGTGAAATAAACCTACAGGACTGTGAGTTGCTCCTCCAACTTAACTACATGTCAGCAAATAAATATACCTTTGAACTTTCTTTTGGAATGATTAAACACATAATCGTAAAGTTGGAAGTTGAAAGAAATATACATTTGAACTATATAATAGAAGACATATATATACATACATACCCTTTATGTACAATCGTTGAGAGTGTATACATAGTATATATATCTAATATATAGTTCAAGAGTATATGTATTTTAACTTCATTTTTGTGTGTAATTGTTTCAAAAAAAGTTGAGGGGTATACAGATTCTCTGTTAGATTTTTTTTTGGTTCCAAAGAAAAGACAAGTAACCTAGATTCTCTGTTAGATAGTTCAAGGGTATTTTTATTCTTTATTGCTATCAAGATATTACTCATTAGTCATAACTACCCACCGTATAATAGTTACATGTGTCACAAATTTTATAAGTTAGTGTTTGCTACCCCTATTGCAGGTTTTAAGGTTAGAGACTCACACTCCAAACCTGCTGTGCTCTTGGGTTTATTTGTCTTATTAAAATTTAAAAGTTATAGTGGGGTGGGGGGGGGGGGGGGTGGGGGGGATGGAGCAATGTTATTATATAAATTGAGCTTATTTTTAGCTAAAACTGATTATTCTGTTTATTTTCAGCTGAACAGTCCAGACCTTTTTGACATGTATTCTGCTGGGATAGTTCTCCTGCAGATGGCTATACCGAGCTTCAGGTCTCCGACAGGTCTAAAAAGGTTCAATATGGAGCTGAGACAAGCGGGATACGAGTTAAACACATGGAGGGAAAGGAGCAGGTCAAGGCATGATTTAAGCATTCTTGATCTGGACTCCGGAAGAGGGTGGGATCTTGCCACCAAGCTCATTTCGGAGAGGGGTCCGCTGAGAAGAGGACGGCTGTCTGCTTCGGCTGCTTTAAGGCATCCTTACTTCTTGCTAGGTGGTGATCAAGCGGTCGCCTTCCTTTCCAAATTCGGCTTTACTAAGTAGACAATTCCAATATGAGGAGTGAAAAAATCCAAGGGTATGTTTGGGAGTTTGGAGGGAAGGGGAAGACTTTGGAAGTATGTTGTTGAAGGGGAAATGGAAGAGGGTGAGGAAGCTTTCTTTGTATTTGGGAGTAATAAAATTGGAAGAAGAAGGTTTTTAAAGAAATTATAATTAAAATTAGGTTTATGATCTTGCTATATGCGTTCATATTAAGCTGTGCCTGAATAGTGTTGTGCTTGGACTGGGTTGGCACAAGCATGCCCCCCAAAGCTATAGAGATTTGGGAAAATGGAAACTAATAATCCAACCTTTTAGCGGTATTCTTACAATAGTTCCACTTTTTCGTTATTCAGGAATAATCCAACCTTTGCGGGCATCTTCATTCGCTGGTTCCTGACCGATTGATGACATGCTATTCCAAGTTATTTTCTTATCTTTGTAATATATTATACCATAAATCTCACCTTATGATTACATAATGTTTTTCAAAGATAAGAAAATAACTTGGAATAACAAGTCATCAATCGGTCAGGGACCATCGAATGAAGATGAGGTGCAAAGGTTGAATTATTCCTGAATAATGAAAATGTGAGACTATGGTAAGAAAACCCCTAAAAAGTTGGATTATTAGTTTCCATTTTCCCTAGAGATTTTGGATTAGTGATTTATTAAATTAAGACCTGAGGTTACTTAGAAAAGTTTAGGAGTAACCAAAGCCGTATATGTGAGTTTGTATTTAGCGGTGTGGTATGATGTTACATGGTTTACCTACATAATAACTTTGATAATATTGCCATCAGAATAATCTCTCTTTCTTTATGACTTTTTAAATTTATCAATCATATATACTTAATTTTTGATATTGTGTACGGAGTACGAACTGAGGGAAGATGTCCAGTCTTTAAGCTTGACAAGAAGGATGACCATGCACTTACAAATACAATCAGTTTCAGTTGTTCGAGTGGTAAAACTGATAGAAAAAGAACCATGCTTCTTCCTTGGAAATTCGAACAGCCACTTGCACATCAACCCATTGAACACTCCATTGCCATGGCCAATGACTTCTTCATAGGGGAGGAGGGCTTAGAAGATCTTGACCCTCGAACCAGCGGATACCCAGACGGTGACTTGGTCGGACAATCGTCAACATCTGCTGCTGCATATGCTAAACTTCCTCAACAGAACATGAAAGGATCTCAATTGAGTGGAGAGGCATGGGTGAATGATTTGAGGGCTGTGTGTTGAGCTTGTGGGAAACTGGGAATGGAAACAGGAAAGTCTAAAATTCTGTTGTACTTGTTCTCAATATTTTCTTAAGTTCAAAACTAACACTGAATTATGTATAAGCGGTTAGCAAGGTAGAAATTGGATTTTATGTAGGCATTAAAAATGAACATTTTCTTGAGGCATTTTTATATGGCATGCATTCATTTCATGATTAATATTATGAGCCCGTTTGATAACCTTGTTTTTCGTCTTATCAGCCTTATTGGTCAACTTTTTCACTAAATATATAATTTTTTATTTGGCGCATTAAATAATGTAATAATCAAAATAAGTATGGTTGGAGTTACTTTTTGGGTTGGATTGGATTTTTTTATTAAAATTGCATTAAATGGTCATTTTTGGGTAGATTTGTGAGTGGGGTCCGCTTCTGATTTGGGTTGGATCAAAATGGATTCGGATTCTACTTTTCAAGGGATTGAATTCGATATGTATTACACTCAAAACGAATAACGAGTGAATGAGAAATTAATTCTCAAAATTCACTTGTTGCGATGGAGAAATTGGAAAATTTTCGAAGGTAGAACTAAACACATAACTACAATCGGTCAATGGACATTTTAACTTCTCCTTTAAACTTCCAGTGTTTCGAACGTTGGTTAAAACTTAGAAACTGTAAAACGTGATTTAAGGCATGGTGTAATTGTGTGGTTAATGGCCTCCAACGTTCAAGATCATTAAAACACAACAAATGTGTTTAAATAGGCGGTTTCACACAATAAGTGTGTGGTTAATGCATAACTAATACTTAGGTTCCTCTTCTCCTATATATGGTTGGTAGGTGTTTGTCGATCAACAACACCTAGAAAATATTAAACCCACAGAACACACCCATCGAGCAATACATATCATTTTCAAACGGCAAACTTTGTCAACCTTCCGATAAAACTCTCTTAGTCATACCCTTTGTTCCCGTTCGTTGGAACAACCTATTGTGTGCTCAATAAAGTTGCTCGTTTGTCACTGTATCCTAGGAAACTGGTGATGCAACGCTCCTAGCACTGTGGTAGGCAGCAAATTGGTTTTAAGGACATTGTATGTTGCACAAGCTTTTGTTGGCCATTAGTTCGGTATTTCTTTCTGTCTTAGAACAACGACAATTCTATCTTCTCTTCCGTTGGATAAACTCTTTTTCAAAAAAATAAAACATATTTTCCCACAAATTCTTCCGGTCATAACCAAAAGAACAAGGCAAGATATTGTGTTTGCATCTATAAATTTCTTCTTATTTGTGGCAACGTACAAACGTCATGTGACGAACAAAGAACTTGAGGCTTCTTCATTTTCCATCCGGTGATCAATCTAAATAATTGATTAAGTTTTCCGAAGGGATTACAAGCATTGTGGGTGACACTATTGGAGGATTAAACGATGATTTTGCAAAGATAAAAATTCCTCACGAGTTCTTGATTCAATATGTTGAAGATTGCATAACAAACATGGTTGAATACATTTATCCTTCCATTGCTACTGTTGATGAAGATCCGAGTTATTTGAAAAAAAGAACAATATTATCACCCACTCTTGACGTTGTGGATTTTATTAATGATTACATGTTCACATTAAATGGCTCTGAACTGCTAACGTTGTTTTCTTAGCAGACATTTATACTCCAGATTTTTTAATGGAATTCAAGATTCGTGAGTTGTAAATCATCAATTGCATCTTAAAGTTGGCACATCTATTATGCTAATGAGGTATATTGATCATTCTCAAGGTTTATGCAATGGAACTAGAATGGTTATCCCAAAATTACATAAGCAATTAAGCATGTGTTGGAAGCAAAATCTTGACGGGTAATTAGTTCTGGTGAAATTGTGTTAATTAATACCAAGAATGTCTTTGACACCATCAGATTTGAGACTGTCTTTCAAGTTTGAAAGAAGACAGTTTCCTCTTATTGGCTCATATGCATCGCAATAAATAAGAGTCAGAGACAATCTTTATCTAATGTTGGATTGATTTTGCAAAAAAGAATTTTTAGTCATGGTCAGTTGTATGTAGCTCTTTCGTGTGTTACTGATCCTAATGGTTTGAAGATTCTTATATGTGATAAGGAATGTTAGAGTACCAATATAACAACAAATGTTGTTTTTAAAGAAGTGTTTCGAAATTAGTAAGCATTTGTGACTTTCATATGAGTTAATTATGTATTTAGGACTAAAAGTTTGTCTGTTTGCACAAATAAGACCAAAAAACTAAACTATGTTTCATATGACTAATTATGCGTGTTTTGAACAAATGTACCCTTGTACCCTTGTCCAAATGTTCAACTTCGTCATTATAAACATTGTCAAAATAAACAATGTTATAGTTTTGAAAAAATTATTAATCTCCCAATAAAAACATCACAATGTCCAAAAATGTTATAATGTCAATGCTATAAAACGTGACATTGTAATAATGTCAATGTCAATGTTAACGTTGCACAAAGTGTCATTGTAATAATGACAATATCAATGCAAATTAAATGTCAATGATGTCATTTTCTAAAATTTCATATTATAGTGGAAATAATTTTCCTAGGTATGACTAAAACTCATTCACTTTCTCAATCTATGACCTAACTAATTTTTCTCCAAAAATAATATTAAAATTCATATATTAAATTAAAATTAGTAATTAATACTCCCTTCGTCCCCCTTATATCGTCCCGTTTTACCTTTTTGGGAAATCCCACTAAAATTGTCTCATACCATATTTGGTAAAGTTTGTATGGCTCTAAATCATTCTTACTTTATTCTTACTTTATCAATTAATATCAACCACACAAACCCACTTTTCTTAATAATCATGTCACCCTCTTCCGTCCCAATATAAAAGGAACTGAGGAAGTAATTAATAAATAAATTTTATGGTAAAAAATGTCCCTTTAGCCTATACCTATAAAACTCTAACCTCCTATTCTTGTTCTACAACCCTAGCTACAACCTCCCAATGCTCACTCACCCCTCCGCCCAACCGCTGCCCGCTGTCTAATCACCGCCCATCGCCCAACGCCATCGTCTTGCACATAATTCCGACCTGGGAGCAAATTGCGACACAGAAGCAACGTGGATGGCTAGTGCAGTCGTACACTCGACCTGGTTGCCAAGGCAATGCACAACGTCGATGTGCAGTGTTGTTCGCCATCCAGCCGCTGGCCGTACAACCTGCGCTCGCCGCCGCATGGTCACCTCCTTCTCGTTTTTTCTTTTTGTATTTCTTGAAATCAGGGTTGGTAATTAATGTTCCCAAAGAATGATGTTGGACCGCCGCTCCAACCACTCACATTCTTCAACCAAGGCGGCCGAGGTTGAAGGTGAACCCAAGATTGAAGATGAACCCTAGGTTGAAGACGATTAAAGATCGTGTGCAGCGAATAATTTGTACCCAATGCCGTGAATATCACAAGAATGCAGTGATTAGTACAAGAAGTGCAATGATATGAACATAAATAATGTGATTATGACAAGCAGTGCAATAAGGCAGCACATTAACTATGGCATAAAGTGCAGTCATCAAATCTAAAATGAAAAAATATATAAGATCTTATCATTTTTGTAATGTCGTGCCATAACTCTCGCATGAAGTGCATTATATTTATTTAAACGTAAAAGCTATAGTTATCAAAACTAAAAAAACGATAAACCTGACTGAAGTGTCCTAACTTAAGTGCATGAAGTGCATTATATGTCGTGGCGTGAACGCAACATAAAGTGCAGTAAATGTCATGCAATAATGCCTTTATAAAGTGCATTATTTTTACACGGACGTAAGTAGTGTAAAATGCATCTTTTTAAGAAGAGGGTATTTTCGTCCTTCCACAATTTAATACAACGAAAATTTCTTTTTCTTTTTTCAACTTTTGGTCATATTTCGGGGGGGGGGGGGGGGGGGGGGGAACATAACTAGCCACACTTTGGGAAAGTCACTTTGTTTTTGTTAAATCTTGGGAATTTTTCCTATTACAGCTTAAAACATGTAACAATGCCAACAATAAGAATATACTCCCTCTGTCCCATACAACTTTGTTAACTTTCCTTTTTTGGATGTATCATTAACTTTGCCACTTTCCCTTTTGAGTAAACAATTTGTGGTTCCATTTAATTCTCTCTCCTCTGCACAAATCTTTATTAATCCCTGTACCAGTCAAACTTGGCAAAGTTTTAAGAGACAGATGTAGTAAATGTTAGAGGAAAGTACAGAAAAGGTACATATGATTTGGGCTGTTTTCAGATAGCGGCACGTGTTTCATTTTTTAACAAAGTGGGACATGTGTTTCAATTATGTTATCACAAATTCAAAGCAGGGGCATGACGTCTAACGCCGTTAGAAAATCCAACCCCGATTTTCAAAAGTCTCTGAAACATTAAAAGAAAAATATTGGGAGGCGTGTCTCGTCAAGGAGACCAACAAACTATTTTCATAATTTTCATAACCCCTTTTCCCCATTTTCCCTCAAAACCTTCATTTTCAAGGGATGCACATGAAAGCAAATCACAACGTAAAGCATGAACATGTCTAACATCTTTCAAAGTGAACACAGAACCAGAAGAGAATCTAAGGCATACATCATCAATTCCTAACACGTTGCATTTATTTTCATTAGCCATAGACACATAGTCATTCTCAATTTTCTTATGATTTGAAAAGAGATTTTCAAAGGGATTCATATGAAAAGTACAACCGGAGTCAACTAACCAATCATATTCACATAGGGAATTAGAAAGCACGGAATTAACACATGCATGATCACAAAGATTATTAACCATAAAAATATCACCCATTTTTTCTTCACAAGAAGCCACATTAGAATGTTCATTATGCTGCTTTTTCTTAGGCTTAGGACAATCCTTAATGAAGTGACCGAATTCATGGCAATTGTAGCATTTTCTAGCCTTAGATCTAGACTTAGATCTACCCTTCGTCTTCGCAGAATTTTTCCTAAAACTTGATTCGCCATTACTAGCATATTTTTGGTTATAAGACCTATTCTGAGGTCTTCCCCTAACATGCATCACGTCACCTGAATTTTTACTTCCCCTAGATTGCTTTAAATCTAACTCTTTTCTTTGAGATCGACCATTAACAACAATATCTAGGGCCACATTATCTCTGCCATATTAATGGCAGATTTGACATCAC